TCATTACTTGGAATAAGAAATAAAATTAGACTAGTATAAGTATCAAAAGACTTTTGTTATTTTAAAACAAGATTTTTCACAAGTAATCTTAAATTAGCCAAACTTTTCAATCCGTCGGTCAACCGCGTGTTAGCGGATTCTCTAAGATGCCTAAACCCTTCTTAGAGAATTATTTGAACCATTACCTGACTCTGGTTTATTTAAAATGTTTTTCCTAAAAATTAAGTGGCGACTTTCAAATTATAATTTTTTCAAAACTTAACAAAACTGCCAAAGTTGCGAAAATGGTTTCGAAATCTTAATTTTTGAAACCGGGTCGTAATAAATGTTTTATTAATAAGTGTGCATTATTTCAAAAATTCAATTAATATGAAATAGAGGGAGTAATATTTTTATAGAAAAATTTAATAGCCTAAAACATGTCATTAGAAAATTTAAAATTAAACAACATAAAAAAATAGACATTAGTAGTATTTATAAGTTACTAAAAAAAGAAAGACAACTATATGAAAACACGGAAAAAGTTAACAAAAAGATTTCAGTTTTTTCGTTTCCGACTATAACAAGGATTTGGAGCTTTTTTCCTATAAAAAGCGACTCCCTCTATTCTCTCTTTTGTATTTCTAAAATTTACGAAAGATTTCTATAAGTTAACAAACTTTACCAGTTTACAGCAATCGCAATGGATTCTTCAGTCGTGGAGGGCGGCGCGTCGCTCCGTTCGCCAGGTACCGACGCTACAAACCGCCGTGTTTCTTATTTCTTCGACTCTTCCATCGGCGAGTATTATTACGGCCAGGGTCATCTAATGAAGCCTCACCGTATTCGTGTTGCCCACAATCTTATTTTAAACTATAATCTTCACCGTAAGATGGAGATAATTCAACCGTTTCCGGCGACTAAGGAGGAAATCGGATGGTTCCACTCGTCGGACTATGTGGAGTTTCTCTCTTCAGTTTCTCCGGAGATTGTTAATGATAAGTACGATTCCTACCAACGTAGACGCTTCAATGTCGGTTCGGACTCGGAAAGCTTTGACTGCCCTCTTTTTTATGGTCTTTTTGATTTTTGTCAAACTTCAGCTGGTGGCTCAATTGGCGCCGCCGCTAAGCTTAATCGGAATGAAGCTGATATAGCTATCAATTGGGCTGGTGGGTTGCATCATGCAAAGAAAAGTGAAGCTTCTGGATTTTGCTATGTCAATGATATTGTTCTTGGAATTCTAGAACTTCTCAAGGTCCACAAGGTAAATACTATATACTCTGTTTTTATTACTGTAAATATTTTCATGAGTATTCATGTTAGCTCTGTTTTTCTCTGTTTCGCTTATATTATTTGTTCCGCAAGTAATATATCAAAGGCTGTTTTTTCCCTTGAAAAAGTCGAGCTATTTGTGTGTTATTGAGAACTGTTGCTTACTTGATCGAAGGCTAGGCTCTATTTGTTCTTAGGTGTGTGGCTTTTTTTTGTTCATATTGTTGTTGAGTCTGACTTGGATTGGCGTTGATGTATATTAAAAAACGAAATTTTGAATGTGCTTCTATCATTTGAGTTTGTAAGCAATATGTTAATAATGGTCTTGAGGATGTAGAAAAGGATTATAGACCGGAAGACATTGTCGATTTCAGTATAATTTAATGTATTGTTGTCTGTAAAGAAGTATTACTATATTATTTTCTGATATTTTGTTGATTAGGTCATACTTAATTGGATGGACCTAGTAATTTGGAGTCCAAAATACTTAAAAATCGTTACTTAGTTGATCGCTGATATGATTTCAATAATTGTTGTTAATTGTGTATAAGTGTGATTTGTAGGCCATAGCTGGATAACATCTTTTGCCTTTGCCAGGAGAACTGCTTGTTACAAACTATTGTTTCTTTAACATGCTCATTGTTGTTGTGCAGCGTGTATTGTATGTAGACATTGATGTTCATCATGGGGATGGAGTTGAGGAGGCTTTTTACACCACTGATCGGGTTATGACAGTGTCTTTTCATAAGTTTGGAGACTTCTTTCCTGGTACAGGGCATGTCAAAGACATTGGTGCAAGTACCGGGAAGTACTATGCCTTAAATGCACCATTGAATAATGGTATTGATGATGAAAGTTTCCGTAGTCTATTCCGTCCTGTAATCCAAAAAGTGATGGAGGTTTATCAACCTGAAGCTGTTGTTCTTCAATGTGGTGCTGATTCACTAGCCGGAGACAGGCTGGGTGTCTTTAACTTGTCTGTCAAAGGCCATGCAGATTGCATTCGATTCCTCAGGTCTTTCAATGTCCCTTTAATGATGTTGGGTGGTGGAGGTTATACTGTTAAAAATGTTGCTCGGTGCTGGTGCTATGAGGTGAATCTCTTTAATCTCTATTTCTCCGTTTTGGTGCTTTTTCCTGTCTATGCATTTTCACCTATTACCTTTTACTTGTCTTATAAGTTGTTGTGCTAAGTTTGAACTTCTTCAATGTTTACAGACAGCAGTTGCAGTTGGAGTAGAGCCTGATAATGATTTGCCTTACAGTGAGTTTTACGAGTATTTTGCCCCTGATTATATTCTATATCATGAATCATTACCCATGAAGAATGAGAATTCTCCCTCGGAACTAGAGAGGATCAGGTAATCTGAACATCATTCTTTTAGGGCTTGCTTTTAGTGAACTGTCAGAAAATACTATCTAATAATGTTCGAATCTTTGTGAAGCATTAGCGAGTGTGAGATGATGTTATTTAACATGAATAATTGGTGGGTGCAGGAACACTTTGCTGGAGCAACTCTCGCATTTACCCCATGTACCTAGTGTTCCATTTCAAGTGACACCTTCCGTAACAGAAGTTCCAGAAAAGGTCAGCACTAGTTTATCTTCAAGATCATTTGAGTTTCTATGTATATTATCCAACCTGATCCTCATTTAACAATTTATGTATCCAGGAAGACGAAAATATGGATCAAAGGCCTAAGCCAGGGATACAGATGAGCCAGGATTACGATACTGATGACGAGGAGAAGTCAAATAACGGAAAGTTCAGTAATTACTACAATTACTTCAACAATGAGAACTGACATGAGGTAAGGCCTTCAAGTTATCTTCTACACACACTTGAAACAACCATCCCATGCCTGCTAATTCGAACCTAAATCTCTTTTTTGTTTCTTTTGGAACCCATATGGGGAAACCTGCAGCCACCACTGTTTGGGTGCGCACTGAGTGAATCCGCTCCTCCTATTTTCCTATGAAGTTTTAGTTCCCTTAGAAATTGCAGTATAATTTGCTTTGCTTGAAACTGAATTGTGGTGTGGTTTGTAATGCAGGTTACTTTCAATACAAAGTCAAAAATGAGGACATGATTTGATTGGAGGCCTCTGAGACTAAGCTGTTCAACATGTGTCTATTAACAAATTTTCTGTTTAGTTTGGATGAGAAATGATAGAAACTCATAGTAAGATGTTATTTGTAGTGATGTAATTATAATATACATTATAACTTTGTTTATTTGGTGAATAGAGATATGAGCATATACTTAAGTTATTCGAGAAAATGAGCAACATACTCGTTTACCATTTCAATAAAAGAAAATAATAATATCTGGTGTGTTATTTACAAATTTCTTATGTTTTAAAATAAAAATTCTAGTATTTTCTTTTTAGATGCAATTAAAAGTAAATAAAGTTATAATGGTACAAAATCACTCTATGTAGCCCACAAGATCTATGAGTAATTTCCTTGGATAGTCACTCATGTTTGGAAATTACCTAGGAATATCACTTATGTTTGTTTTAGGACCACAATATCACCCAACTTTATCTCTTTTTCTCAAAATATACTTGACAAAAAAAAAACACTATCTCTCTCCTAATAGGATGCCATGACACATTATTCTTTTTTTATTATTAACATTTTTTTAAAAAAATTTAGACAACCCATATTACCTAGTAAAAAAAAATTACATAGCCCAAAATTTTTTACCCTAGTTCTGGGGGATTAGGCGGCAAATTCAAATATGAGCTTCTCCGATTCTTCAAGAAAATATGTGGCTTCCTTCGGTTTTTTCAAGCGAGATAATGTTTTTATATGGGCACTAATGGGCAATGACACCTTTTTGTTGAGTCCGGAGCAAAAAAGACAAAAAAAAATCTTTAAAAAACAAAAGCGACACATCAAAAAAAATTTTTAACCAAAAGGGAAAAATCGTTCCTGACGAAGCGATTTTGTTCTGACAAAAATTGACGTCATTCCGCTAAAAGAAATAAAAATCGTTGCCTTCGCAGGGATTTTCTCAAAAAATATAATTAAAACTGAAGTCAGCGATTTTCATAAAAAGCTTTTTTTTACAAAAATCTTTACCCTTTCAGCGATTTAAATGAAATTTAAAAAAAAAAAAAAAACTGAAAACCGCTGCCTCGGCAGCGATTTTTTCTTTAAAAAACTTGTTTTTTTTAAATGGCTGCTGCCGAAAATTTATGTAATTTAAAACTTGTTCTTTATGTTTTTTTTTTAATTCTTTAACAAAAATAGTTTTTTTTTTATAAAAACGCTACTATAGCAGCGATTTTAAAGAAATAATGATTATTATTTTTTGAGAAAATCGCTGCTTTCTCTCGCGATTTTTATTTCTTTTAACGGAACGACGTCAATTTTTGTCAGGAGCAATTTTGCCCTTTATGGTTAAAAAAAATTTTGAAGGAAAAAAATGACCCTTTTGACTTTGGACTCCCTTTTTGTTGATATTTTATTCATTACAGTAATAAGGTAACCATATTGTCAAACTACAAATGATATAATGTTTTTAAAGAATTAGAAAAAATGTTAATAATAAAAAAGGAATAATGTGACATGGCATCCTATTATGAGAGAGATAATGTTTTTTTTGTGTCAAGTATATTTTGAGAAAAAGAGATAAAGTTAGGTGATATTGTGATCCTAAAACAAACATAAGTGATATTCCTAGATAATTTCCCAAACATGGGAAACTGTCCAGGGAAATTACTCCAAGATCTATATGCTAATAGATACCCGAGAGACTGAATCCCCGGGGAGAGAGAAAAGACACATTACTCCTAAAAAATGTGCAACTAACCTTTTCCATTCCGTTTTCTTCCGTGAAATCTAATCTCATAGAGTTCAATTTCCATTCTCAATCTATGTACCCTATAAGTTCGAGGCTTCCTTCGTAACTCGGGGAACTGTTTAAGGTATATTAGTCAAGCGAGAGCTTTTACTAATTCTTAGAAACTGGGGTATAAAGTATAAATCAAAGTTCAAACTCAACATAATTTTTACAAAAAAAAATCAACAAAAAGTTGTTTGAAATGTGCTGATGTTCATCCCCTTCAACTCCCTTCTTGCTCAACTGTCAAAGCCGAAGCTTCCAATCTCAAGAACCAAAGAGCTTCACGCTTTCATAATCAAGACTCATCTCTCACACGACCCATTTTACGCTACAAGAATTATAAGATTCTATGCTCTAAACAACGACATCATCTCAGCACACAACCTGTTTGATAAAACTCCCCACCGAAGCATTTACCTGTGGAACTCCTTAATTCGAGCTTATGCTAGAGCCCACAAATTTAGAAATGCATTTTCGCTGTTTAATGATATGCTTTATTCTGAAATAATGCCTGATAACTTCACTTATGCATGCCTTGTAAAAGCCAGCTCTGAGAATTTTGATTTGCACAGCTTAAGAGTTTTACATGGAGGGGTTGTTCTATCTGGGTTGCAGTTGGACTTTATCTGTAGTAGTCAACTGGTAAGTGCTTATTCAAGATTAGGCTGTATAGCTGATGCAAGCAAGGTGTTTTCTGGGATAACGGGACCGGATTTGGTCCTATGGAATTCGATGATATCAGGTTATGGGGGTCTTGGGGAATTGGAGAAGGGGATAGAGTTGTTTAGTGAAATGCAGATAATGGGGGTGCGGCCTGATGAGTACTCAATGGTAGGCCTGATTATGACTATAGATGATCCCAGTGTGCTGATTATAGGTGAAGCAATCCATGCATTTTGTTTAAAACTTGGTGTAGAGTCGAATGATCATGTAAGCAGTCTTCTTGTTAGTATGTATTCTAGGTGTAAATGTATGGGTTCAGCATTTAGCGTCTTTGATAGTCTTGTAGAACCTGATTTAGTTACATGGTCTGCTTTAATAAGTGGTATTTCGCTGTGTGGGGATAGTGTCAAGGCCTTGGATTTCTTCAGAGAAATGAATATGAAAGGTGGGAAGGCAGATGCATCGCTGATTACCACTGTACTAACTGCTTGTTCTCAGTTGGCAAATGTGCAGCCAGGCATTGAGACACATGGTTATGCTTTTCGACATGGATATCACTCGGAAGTTATGGTCTCCTCTGCTCTACTTGACATGTACTCGAAATGTGGGTTCTTGGAATTGGGATATCAAGTTTATGAGACTATGGTTTTCAAGAATATTGTTTCATACAATTCAATTATTTCAAGTCTTGGTTTATATGGACTTGCATCTCAGGCCTTTGAGATATTCGAGAAGGCACTGGAGGAAGGGCACAAACCTGATGAAGCTACTTTTTCTGCACTTCTTTGTGCATGTTGCCATGCTGGTCTTGTCAATGATGGTCGAGAATATTTCAGAAGAATGAAAGATCAATTTGGCATCTCAGCTAACACCGAACATTATATTTACATGGTAAAGCTTCTTGGAATGGAAGGACAATTAAGAGAAGCTTATGAACTTGTTCAATCTCTGCAAGAACCAATTGACTCTGGCATTTGGGGGGCACTATTATCATGCTGTGATGCTCATAGAAATTATGAGGTCGCAGATATTGTAGCTTGTCGTCTTTTTGGGAATAAGCTAGAGAATAATAGTTACAGAATTATGCTTTCAAATATGTATGCTAGTGATGGGAGGTGGGATTTGGTAAATAAGTTGAGAGTAGATTCTGGATTAACAAAGTTGAAACTTCCTGGAAAAAGCTGGATTACTAGTAAAAAACATTCCTTTGAAAGGAACTCTTGAAGTGTCTTCTGCGACATCTTTCACGAGTTAACAGTTGCTGAATCTAGGATCAGAAGCTGCGAGAGGAGGTAGGATCAATCTAATTTCCTTGTCATGAAGGGAAATTTTATCATGTAATTCCATAACAAATAGAAAAAAAGATAGTTTGACCCATTCTGCACCTGAACATGATTCTAACAAGTTATGGAAGGTTCATCTCCTCACTTCTGTGTCTTCTTCCACAAAAAGTTTTACCATGAATAATTCATGATTGTTAAAAACATGATGTCAACAGACGGTTAAGGCATGATAACTGAAACTTATGTAAAGCTAAAACATACAAGAACAGCTTACGATCTTTGTTGTTCTGCACTTCGTTGATCAGTTATGTAGTCCTTAGGAAATGGATGACGAAGACCTTTTTTTTTTCTTTAGGTCTCTGTTCTGTTATGAAAGTTCAATCTGCATGATTTCAAACTGGTGGCCACTTGACTGCTCAAGAATGGTGGCAAATCATTTTCATCACACAAGTGTGTAGAATGCAGCCATGGAATGTTTAGGTAAAATAGAAGAAACCAGAAGTCTTCCTCTTTTTTCTTTTTATCTTTTGAGAGCCATGGAAACCTCTCTCTCCCTCTCCCTCTCCGTACATTCATATTTAAGAGGCTTCTCCATTCTTCTAAGAGAGTAGAGAGATGACTAGGGAGTTACTGCTGTTTGTTCGCTGTTCCGGAAAGACTGCTTCATTTTTCTCGCTTTGTACATTGGTGGAACTATGTGTTGAAGCATTTACAAGATTATGCATATGGGGTCTTTGTGGCTTTGAGACCACTGGCTTGTTTGTTACTCTTTACATCAGAAAATCTGTGGATCATCCTAAAGCTACAGTGTTAAAGTTAGGTCAACGTCTATTACTTCCCTCGTTTCACCATAAGTTCATGGTTACATAGAATCAGTACTCAACTGTGAATGACAATTAAACTTTTCCCACCTTCTGTTCAATTGTTCACAAAATTATCTCTGCTGTTACGAAAGATTTTATTAAGGATACTTGGAATTTTCAACTTTGCTGCATGAATATTATTCTCCCCGGATAAAAAAAAAGAAAGGGAGAAAAAAAGAAAAAAGAAATCATGATGTTGTATTTCTGATTTAATAGGTATCTTGTACAGGTTGTTGTAGTGTCTCACTAAATGTTGTTTATTTGGAGTGTGGATTAAATCTGAGCTGTTGCATAGTATGAAGGAAGTTATTCCGTTGAACGGATTTTCTGTGCATATGTTTGGAAGAATACTAATAGCGCTGCATCATGTGTAATGCGCTATGAAATGCCTCTATTAAGAACTTCTTAAGAATTGTTGTAGGTTCTCATAATTTGAACAAGTATGTGCACTATTGATATTGACATCTTTTAGACCATTAACATAAGTCATCGAAAAATGTCTCTAACATGAGGCAAGAAGTACATTGTCTGCAGGCTCGGTTCTCCTTGGTGCAGTCATCATGCGTTTCATAGTTGTGTTTGCATGCTTCAAGACTCTGAAGGACAGGCAAAGTTTCTTTTGTAAATATGGTATGATAAATTGTGGTATCAACTGAAATTTCTCTGAGGCCAAACATTATACAAGGCATTTATAAGTAGAGATATTTAACTTAAAGAGCCGGAAAGTGGAATAAGTAGGAGTTGAAATGTTAGAAGTCATATGCAGGACTGGTTCTCACCATCGGTGCATTTAGTCTATGAAACAAGACCTTTTTCCTGACCAATTGTGTTCTAATCATTGCACCTTGATTCCTACTACATTCTATCAATTATATCGATCAACTTTAGCTAAATCTCAAACTAGTTGATCCTTCCACGTTTTATTGCCACTAAATTTGAACAATATATGCATGTGTAAATAGTTTGTGGGAGTCTTTTGGTGTGTAATCAATCCCATTGTCAATTGCTATAGCTACATCTTTGGTTGGTATTCTCGGTCTTTTCCATGGCAGTGTGTTAAATCTTCGCTAAACTTCATTTATGTTAATTGAACTTTTGAAAGTTTTTAAGATTCAAGTATTTGAAATGCATTTTTCTTCAAGTTGCTATACTTGCTAAAGGAGGCCAAGTGTGCTAATATATGATATGGGTGTGTAAGCTATTTGATATAGTTAAAGCAGGCTGTCATTTTTATTATATGATCAGTTGCTCAGTCAGTATTGGAATCCTTACCCCTAGATGCAATTTTAGTGTTCTAACTGATTGCTATCTAATGTTGCATAAACAAACATTTGCGCTGAGGTTTTAGAACTCTTCTAAAATGCACACTTTTAAATGTGTTAAAACGCACATTAGCTGATTTATAAAAACAGTTTTATAAGATACCGTGCGTCAATGACACTTCTGAATAACTTTGCTAGTTGCATCACTAACATATTTTTCTTTCATTTTGTGGGAGGGACTTGATGTTTGAAGGCTTGAAGAAATCCTGGATCATAAATTCAGTTGCCCGACAAATTTGCTACTTCAAGTGAAAGGTATCACAGGTTAGAAACAGCTCTCCTACATAAGCAGGACAACTAGTGGCTTCTGTTTGTTCGTTGTTAGCTTTGTGCATCAAATTGGTTGCTTCTCAAAGACCCAAAATTATTTATAATAAGGTTAAGAAGAAAACATTATGGCAATGCAAAGTGGTACCTATGCTGCTTGTGATGAGATCCTTGTAACAGCCTCTTGAACCCTGGAAAACAACAAGTTATAAGAATTATCAGTATGCAAGCGTGTAGCATTTAATTAAAAAATCTTGAAGTCCGATTAGAAGTTTTATTGCCACAGAAATATTGAATTTATCAAAGGAAAATGGCATAAACTGTCAAATTGTGTTAAGCATTTACTATTTCTTTCGCTTTTCACTCTTGTAAGTTGTTACCACTTTACTAAATGGTTGTACTTATCAAGTGCTCTTTTTACTGCTTTCTTTTTGTGTCGATTTCTGTAGAAGTATAGTTGTATTTCTTTTCTGGATGAGAGTATTATCTACACTTTCATTCTTGTAAAGACAATTTTTCTAACCATGTGTCAAGGCCAACTTTTGTGCACCTCGACTAATTCCACGGGATATCTTCTACCTCCCATCAACAATAGGTACTACATAACTCTGTCCACCAAGGCTAGGTCAGATGAGAAGAAATCACCTAGTGTTTTTGTATTGTAAATGACATTTCTTTTAAATGATTTTTATATGGTAATAATTGGAAGAATTATTTCATTCATTAACTACCTAGTTAACCAAATCATTGAGGCTTCTCCATCATGTTCTACTGTCATTTTTACATTGGATTTGCACTTACGTTTGCTTCTCTACAATGCTGGGAACATTCCATCTTTGTCTCAAGTAGCAATGATGATGAGTTACTGATGATTGGGAGGAAACTTGCAATTGCACGCTCACGCACACACTCTTGATTCGAGTTACTGAATATTTATCACTCTGATGAAGCTATTATAAAACATCATAGCATTTTTCTTGCTTGTGCTTTTGAAGTTGTTGACATAGTTCTTCGTGTTTACTTTTGCTTACTGAGGCAAAACAGGAGTAGTGTGAGCTTCTAATCAAATGGTGAAATCAGGTCCCTAGTTTAACTATCAGTAGGGTCATTTGTGTTTTTTCTTCAATGTTTTTTCCTCATCTGTTTCCTTTTTTGGAAGTTACTGTTTGATTAGTTAATTCATACTTTACTTTATTTTAAAATTGATTGATGAACCAAAATAATCTGGAAGAGATTGCATGATTGTTGGAACAGAAATATTCCTTTTTTTCTAGGATTCAGAACCTGTAGAGTGCTAGTTTTGAACTCCTATATGGCACTTGAAAGCAACCTTGACCTTGAGGCTCTGAACTGAGTTAAGAATAGGTGAAATGATTAGCTGGAGAGGCTACTTCTTAGACTAATGTATTCACTGTATGACTTACAAGTGTTAGGCAAAATAATACTCTAGTACATTAGGATGTAGACCTTATGTGTCCTTTTCATCTTCCTTTTGCCCTTTAATTTGAGCTGTAAAAACAGTTTGGGTTATGTTAGGACTTAGGAATAGCAAGTTGCAATTATGAGCAGGCAGCTACAAATAGGAAGTGGGGGATCTGTCTCCCAGCAAACCATTGTTTTCGCGGACGACATTATTTAGTGGTCAACGAAGTAGGTTGAGATCATGAGGTCTTAAGTGGTATAAAAACATTAGGTGATTTCCTTTTCTCATCGCTCCAAGCCTTGGTGGACAGAATTACTCGGTCTAGTACTTGTTCCTCTTAGGTATGTAGTTGTTTCGCTCTCTCTCTCTCTCCCTTTTTCAAATTCACAACTTGTAGCTACACTAGCCATGTTCCATGACTAAAACCTACTGAATTATTAGGCTAGCCAAACAAGTTTCACTGTGTGTAAAGCCTATATCTTCAAAATTCCAACTAGGAAATTATTATGCTTGAGTCCATTTTTGTGTGTTACTATGTTGAAAGGAGAACTGTGTGCTTTGACATTGTGAAAAAGTATGAACTGTTGATGATGTTCCTAACTCTTATATCTTGACTCAACTTTTTTTAAAACTTAATGCATAATTAAGATATAATCTTACTTGTGGAAGATAGAAAGTACTCTCGTAGAATAGTTAAGATGTGTTTAAGCTGACTCTGACACCATCGTCGTTAAAAAAAAAGTGAGCATAATTAAAGATTTACCCTACATCAAAATAATACATTTTTTGTATAAAAATACACATTCAAAACTCAACTGACTTATATTTGTGAATTGGTGGGACAACCAATCAACTAAACTACCTACTGTTTTTTATTTTATTTTGAAGGATAACGTAGAAAAATGTTCATTATATCTGTGCAATCTAGAAGTGTCATTTCTTGATTGAAAACACTTTCTTGTTATTTAATCTTCGTGTCTCTATTCAATCATTTAAGATGAATCTAGTATTTCTCATAATGATTATTTGTTCATCATCAGTCCCTTTGTATTAAACAATGTACTAGAATTTTGGTTTGTGGAATTATCCAGCCACAAATATATTGAGAAAAAAGAATAGCCAAAAGCAAATCTTATTAGTGAGTCCGGAGCCAAAAGGGCAACAATTTTTTTCAAAAATTCTAAAAGGGCAACAAAATTATTTATCAAATCAAAAGGGCAACAAATTTAAACACCATCTAAATTAGGATTTTTGCCGCAAGGTGCGGATACCCATGCGACTTGTAAGGCGCTGGCAGCTTTTAGCCTTGTAAGGCTCTGCCGCCATGAGCCTTACAAGGTGCAAGGAATCTGCAGCCTTTTTCTAAATTTTTTTTACTACTCTTTTACTACTATCAATTCTTTTTATATTAATTGTTTACTGAGCCTTACAAGGCGTGGGAAATCTGCAGCCTTTTTCTGGAAAAAAATAATAAAATCCTACTCTTTTATTGCTATCAATTCTTTTTGTACTAATAGTTTACCCAAAATTTCCACTAGTCTATAATTAACGGATGATTTTGAATGTGTGAGATAAAAAACATACTAAATTATTTACATTGAAAATTAAAGGAAATTTGAGGAAGAAAATTAAAGCTAGTGGCTTGAAATCATTTTGAGTTTAGTTACTATTAAGACATAAAATTACTGTAATGTCTTTTAAGTATGTCATAGATTTTTAAAAATGGAATGTTATGAACTTGTCATATATATATATATATATATATCATGTTTCGAAAATATTTCTTTTGAGTATAGTGTCTATCAAAGTCAACCTTTCTATTCCTAATAGTAAGAGTAAAATCTATTTACCCCGATTCTACCCAGACTCCACATATGAGATGATACTGATATTTTCATATTGATTAACTTTTCATATATCTGTTGACTTTTGGGATTAGTTAATTTTGCCAATCACTAACATGTTGTCATTAATATAATCTGAAAGATTTGCTTTTATTTAATTGTAACTAATAGTACTACTATTATTATCTTTTAGATACCAGACAAAAGAAGAAAAAAAAAGAAATCAATATTACCAAGTGATAAAAAAAGAGTGAAGAATTATGATAACAAGCTAGTGTTGTTTTCCATTTTGATGCATGAGCTTTTTGTAGTAGAGGCTTTACCCTTTTAGTAAGCTTTAGCCTTTCATTGATTGTAGTAGCGGTGCCTTTCCTTTAATTTTCAATGTAAATAATTTAGTATGTTTTTTATCACACATATTCAAAATCATCCGTTAATTATAGACTAGTGGAAATTTTGGGTAAACTATTAGTACAAAAAGAATTGATAGCAATAAAAGAGTAGGATTTTATTATTTTTTTCCAGAAAAAGGCTGCAGATTTCCCACGCCTTGTAAGGCTCATGGCGGCTTAGCCTTAGAAGGCTAAAAGCTGCCAGCACCTTATAAGTCGCATGGGTATTTGCGTCTTGCGGCAGAAACCCTGATTTAGATGGTGTTTAAATTTGTTGCCCTTTTGGTTTGATAAATAATTTTGTTGCCCTTTTGAAATTTTCAAAAAAATTTGTTGCCATTTTGGCTCCGAACTCTCTTATTAGTCCACTATAGTTTCGGCATTATCTAATAGCTTTGGTCCGAATTATGTATATCATATGTTAAGAAATTTAGTCTATCTATATACAAAAATGAAATCTAAAAAGAAGTTATTAGCTCCTGAGGTAATCGTGTTATAATTCAAATTCTGTAAAATTGAAATCACATATTTTAGCTCTTGAGGTAATCGCGTTATAATTCAGACCCTTTAAAGTTGAAATCACGGATTAGCCTCTAAATATAATTCAGTATCACACATGATTATGATAATCTTAGGTATCAATGAATCGGCTACTAAGAACCAACCTAATGCAAATGTACTTTTCGAGCAAGAAAATTAGCAAAAAAGAGCTTTATAATTAATATTAAACATGGAAAGAGAAAAAGTTAAAGAGGCCCCTCATTTTTGATTTTGTTCTAAATACTTGTAATCTCTACCAAGAAGACTTAAAAATTAATTATCATCGAATTGATTCGGATTTAGAAGGCTATATTAAGTGGTCAAGGGTTGACTAGCCTTAGTTAATTGTCCACTAAATTAAAGATTAGGAAGAACAATTATTTAGAACAAGTCACATGCAATAGATGCTAAACAAAGTATAATGCGGCTAACAACTTAGATTAATTAGCAAATAAAAGATAGATCTGTGATTAATAAAATGTATTTATACAAAACAAGTCTCTTTTTTGGATATTAATAACCAATGATTATGGTTATGATGGCAGCCCACTATAGGGTGATTTTCACAAAGAATATTACGCTATCTAATTGCCTTTATTTATGACTACTTTATTTAATTTAATATTTCCATTCACTCACGAAATAGTTAAGTTATGAATTTTAAAGCAATATACACGCCACGATATACAATAAACTACACATTCACACTTTTTTTAAGAAAATCTTTTTTTATTATATCGGGATAGAGGAATGAGAAATGAGAGAGGTAATCACAAGGAGGGGATTAAATCCTCACTGATAATGTGAAAGTTTAGATAGTTAACCCATTGGGTTACTAAGATCCACCCCCCCCCCCCCCAC